CATCTTGTGAAACGATCAATGCACGTGAGTATGTGATCATACCCGTGCGATGGTGGTAATGGTCCTACAATGTCTATGTGAACGTGATCGAAGCGAGCATCAGGCGTAGCGAAAGTGCCAATAGGGGCAGCTACGTGCCTGTGCACTTTTGATCGTTGACATTGTAATCAATGCTTTACCCACATACGGACATCTTTATTCATGGACGGCCAGACGTATCGTGCAGCGATGAGGCGTAAAGTGGCTGCGATACCAGGATGAGATAAACCATGAAGGGCATCAAAGACGAGACGGCGATAAGCGGAGGGTACGATGGGTCGAGGGAGGCCCGTAAAAGTATCGCATAGGATAGTACCAGAGCTAGTAGCTAGGGGTACTTCCCGGCACTGAAGGGACGTAGACTGTTGTGCTTCCGTGCATGAAGTATCGTTTGCTTGGGCGGCGGCCATAGCAGGCAGATCGAGCACTGGCAAAGTAACTGCATTCAGTTGGATACGTGATAAGGCATCAGCAACACAGTTCGACTCGCCTTTGACATGACGAAGGTCTGTCGTGAACTGAGAGATATAGTCTAAATGTCTGCACTCTCGTGGTGAGTAGCGGTCAGACTTGGTATGCAGGGCATACGTTAAGGGCTTATGGTCGGTGAATAGGATGAAATTACGACCTTCTACAGCGTGCCGGAAATGTTTGATGGCGCAATAGGCTGCTAGCAGTTCGCGACCAAAAGCGCTATATCTCGTCTCCGTGGGAGTGAGGCGTCGTGAGAAAAATTCGAGGGGCTGCCAACTACCGGAGATATTCTGTTGCATAACGGCTCCTATGGCGAAATCCGATGCATCAACCGCTATACTAAGCGTGGCTGATGGGTTAGGATGCACGAGAAGTGTGGCTTGAGCTAGGGCTGTTTTGATATCTGAAAATGCAGTACGTGCGGCGTCATTCCATTCCAGTTTGCGTGGATTACCGCGAAGTAAATCGGTTAACGGTCGTAACTGTTCTGCCGCGTGCTAAATGAAGCGTCGGTAGAAGTTGACCAAACCGAGAAATGCCTTCAGTTCCTTGAGTGTGGACGGTACAGTGTACTCCATTATCGTACGTACTTTATCCTCACAAGGTAAAATACCCTCATGCTTAATAACATGACCTAAGAATTTTATTTCCTTCTTCCCGAGTTCACACTTGTCGGGGTTGACTATTATTCCATTATCCGAAAGGCGCTGGAATAGTAGCGTTAGGTGTTGATAATGTTCATCTACGCTTGATGATGCGATTAGAAGGTCATCAATATAGACGTGAACAAAATCTAGGTCTCGTACGATGCTATCGATAAACCTTTGGAAAGTTTGAGCAGCATTCCGTAATCCAAATGGCATTCTTAGGAACTCAAATAAACCGAAAGGAGTCGTGATAGCAGTTTTCTCTATATCTTCAAGAGCGACTGGGATCTGGTGATATGCTCTTACCAGATCGATCTTGGAAAAAATTGTCGTGCCCTTGAGTGATGCCGTGATGTCATGTATGTGGGGGATGGGATAGCTATCGAAACGTGTAGCTGCGTTTAACGCTCGGTAGTCTCCGCATGGTCTCCAACTAACCCCATCCTTTTTTCGAACTATGTGGAGAGGTGAGGCCCAAGGACTGTGAGAAGGACGAATAATACCAGTAGCTAGTAAATTGTCGAACTCACGTTTAGCGAAAGCTAATTTGTCCGGTGCCAGTCGGCGAGGTCTTGCCGTGACTGGTGGTCCGCGAGTGACTATGTGGTGTACCACACGATTGGTCACCGATGGAGTCTCCTCGAGAGGTTTAGTTAATTTGGGGAATTTCTGAAATAAAGCGTGGAATAAATCGTCACGCGAATGAAATACACCTGAGATTCGGTACGCGTTTGTGTGGGCTTTAAAGCCCATAAAGTTGCTGTTCGACGAAGTATCAATTAGCTGCAGTCTACGTGAATCGACCAGCAATTCATAGTGCTGTAGGAAATCGATACCGAGTATAGCTGTGGGAACCACGGCAATGATGAACGTCCACAGATACTGTCGTCGGTTGCTCAGGTTGACCGTAAGTTGTCGTGTACCATACGTGGGAATGACTGAGCCATTCGCAGCGCGTAGTCGAAGCATAGTGGCTTGAGACTTAGTGTTACCGATAGGTACGACAGAAACTTGGGCACCCGTATCCACAAGGTACCTAGCGTTGGTGCGATAATCGTGCACGTAAAATAAACGGCCAACCTGAGGTGAAGTGCCGGCGAGTACGGCCGCATTTACTCGCCGGCTGAGGAGTTTCCCGTCTTGTATGAGCAGGGGGCTCGACAATGACGTGCACCGGCCCTGAAAGCACGGTGAAACCCGCACCAACCTGGACTCGCTTCCGAAACCGCCTTCTGGCGTGGCTTGGAAGATGCCCGCTTGGGGCGAGTCGTTACGGCCTTACGAGATTGTGACCTGGGTCGGGGGACGTAGGGGGCGGGCACGTTTGTGCGGTCTCGGAAACTGAGACGAGTATGGATACATCTGTCCCTATCCCCATGAGCCGGAGGTCGTCTAGCATCGAGATCAATGTTAGAACGGGAAGTAGAGGCAACAATATAGTTGTCTTCGGCGCTAACACGTGCTAGAATCTTGTCTGCTATGAGGGCCACCTTGTGCAGTGGGGTGTCCTCGAGCAGGGCCGTAAGGGTTGGCTGGATACTGACTGGTAAGGCTTCGAGCCACAACTCTTTGACTATCTCAGAGTCTGCTGTCGAATTTCCTGCAAGGGATTGCAGGCGCGTGAGGTGGTGGCTCGGCTTAGCATCACCCATAGGGTGACGTGCTAAGAGAGTCCTCAATCGTTCCTCTCTTGATGGGAGGAAACGTCGAAGGATAGCATCCTTAAGACGGTCGTAAACGTTCGGAACGTTCGAATTGAGGACAACCTCACGGACAGCAGTTAGGTGATCCCCGGGCAATGATTCCAAAGCGTATGCGTACTTTTGCCTGTGGTTGGTTATGCGGCGGATCTCAAATTGAGATTCCAGTGCTGCGAACCAGACTTCTGGATCATGGGGAATAAATGGAACCGGTCGAAAACTGATAACCTGTATCTCGGAGTCTATCATATTTATGTTATTCTTATCGTTATCTACCATATTAAGTTGCCAAAATATTATATATTGAAAAATTTCAATACGAATATATGCAACCGATGTGGATAGATAAATAGACTCACCGGATTGATCTGGCTTGGTGAATTGGCCAAGTTTGAACTGTGCTCGAAGAATTGGGTTACTGGTTGTGGTTCACCAGATGTGCGTGTTCCCAATACGGCTCACCAGTTTCTAGTGGATGTCGAGTCGAAGACGGACTATGATCACCACTACAATTCGTTTACGCGCCCAAAAACGACTTGGTTCCTTTGATAGCTCGTAAAACAGAAGACTTTATTAATCCAGATCAATTGTATTTATTGTCGATCTCGTGGTATCGAAATAATACCGAGACGTGCCAAAGAGTACAGGCGAACAGGCAGTGCGTGAGCAAGTTCGAACCAAACAAGGCGGAGAGCGAAAGCAGAAGTGAAACTGATACAGTTAAACAAATACAGTAAAACAATCTCTGGTACGATTGGTTACAATAATAATAATTGTTTCCGTTATTCCAATCGTGTTCTTATCGAGACTTGCCGGTCACTACAATATTATTGACAGAACATCTATTGTGATTTATACAATTCACCTCGCAAAATTTTAAATCTGCTAAAGAGAATATATCCACGAAGATGACTAGGAACATAAACAATACTAGAGTGTCCTTAAATCAGGAAGTCTACATGCCGACAGTGAACGTCAGTTTCTAACAAGCTTTTACATACTTTATATTTACGATGGACAATTTAAGCAATAAATGGAAATACGCTAAAATAAAACTCACGTATTCACATAGAAAATGTATAATATTTCTAAATATAATAAATATTAGGTAATATGATTTTAAACAAGGCCATGAAATATTTGGTCTCATTAGGATTACGCATCTATTTATTATGGTTGTTTGAACAAACAGACTATAAATAGTCATGGCAAAAATAATCACAGCAAAATAAGATTAACACTACGCAAAAAAAGAGAAACTCAGGCATTATTTATCATCTCATTTCAATTTGTTGTCTTCGGAAATACTCAGATGACACAGAAGGTGTGTTTTTTAAGTCAGGAACGAAATGTATCTCAGTCGGGCTCGTATCTTAAGTCGCAAAAGTCCTAAATATATGCTATGGGGTAAAACCCCCTGTGTCTATTGTCGACCTTATGAATTACGACATTGTTGACACTCGTAACTCCGTAAATATTTATCGACTAACCACGTCAATACGATGTGAAAATAAAAGGTCAACTACGTGTAGCAATAATGGTTATTATATTTAAGACGCTCATGTAAGCAGGTAAACCGAATTACTGAATGTGAAAATTAAACAATTGCAGAGAGAAGTAACTGTAATAAACTACAGAAATGGATAATGAGTGATCCAGCTTTTATGCAAAGATAACAATAGATAAATCATGTATAACTGAGAAGCTTACAGACGACATACATGAATGAAAAATCCTTAAGACTAAAATCAGAGTGAACACATGTATGAAAACACACAAGGAGCAACATAGTCAGATGGGGACGGACATCCATTCATCTAACGTAATCAATAAAGTAACAATTTAACATCCGGAAGTTAGGAAGTGGTCACGTTAAGGTTTTTGTAAGTATGTAAGATTATTTCCTGACACTATTATATATTGACCGAATGTCCATCAGTGAAACGATTAAGGATCGCTGTAAGTCATTGTTATTATTATTACACTTCATAACGAGTATAAGTAGCCTCCATAAACTTGATAGAATCGTCAGAGATTGAGAAAAAGCCATCCTTAATCATGACAAAAGAAAACTTTTTGATAATCCTGTAATTCTGCAATCAGATATTATATGAACCAGAACACCATTGAATATTGAACTGTAGATTTAAGCGCTTGGTAAGATGTGGCGGCTTGTTGTATTTCTTGATTCTATGCGTATACATTAAAATTTTACTCCGAAGGAACATATAGTTCTTGTGTATTTGTTAATTTAAGTACAAATTTTGTAAAACCACAAGTAACAGCCAAACTTCTATTTATTCAGACTGTATCAGTCGTTGCACAAATAAGATGGACCGAAAAGGCAAGCACTGATAATACCAACGTTTATGCCCTCCGACTAAAACAATGGGGCGGTCAACACTATTCTAGGCTTAACAAAGGATCACTCAACAACGGCCGTTCTCCATTATCAGTTGTCTAAGTCACCCTGGCTTGTCATCAAATTTTTATTGTCACATCTATTTTAGTATGTTGACCTGAGAGCTGAGTGTTAAAGCAGAAGCATAAGGCATGTCAGGAAATGCGACACTGTTTCGTTAAGCAGATACTACGTGTGTACAAATCTCAAATTGTGATAAATGATGAGACTGATTTATGCTCGACATTTGAGTGGCGCTTATTTGATCTTTAGAATGTTCACTTACTAGAGCTAAGTGGTGGTCATAAAACTATTAGGAATTAAGACTAGTTCATCTATAACTAATAGTCTCTCCCTTATGCCCGTTACCTCTCATGCGGCATAGATCACGGGCCTGGATCCTCGGACCAACTCTGTCATAGGATCGCCTTTTCAGTTGGTTGCGAATGCCATACGTTATTTTGATATTTTCCGGTTCTCGGCATGGCGTGTTCTTTGGTCTCTCTGTTTTCCGTTTACTTTCAGAATTTCGAGGTAGCGCTTGCCTTGCGGTGCAGTTCGGTGGTTTACGCATTGTATATCCTCACCTTCAGCTTCTTTTCCTAAATTCCTCTTCAGTTTTAAGTCAGTTTGTTCTATTCCACATAGAAAATCGTTAATTTATACCTGTACCCTTTTGATGAGGGTTGTAGTTCTCTACGTTTAAGCTCCATGTAGTAGAACTGTCTTTTATTAAAGGTTCTGACTGTTAGTTGGCAGTTTTAAGTCCCATGTATTTTTCAGTTGTAGGAATGCTACCTTAGCTTTGCCGATTCTTTCCTTTACAACCACATCAGCTCCTCCTTGTTTATTTATGATGCTGCTGAAGTACGTACAAGTTCCCACCTTTCCCAGGGTTTCTCCATCAAGTGTAATTGGGCTTTTTCCTCTGTCAATGCTAGGTCTTCCATATATTTCCTCTTTTCACTTGTTCGTTTGCTTCTGTGTATTTAGTTTATGCCTTGGCTTTCTCTGTTGTTAGTTGCTGCCTTCTCGTTCTTCTTTTTTGGATTCATGCCCAGGGCGTCTGGTAAAGAATCATTTTGTAATAATGGTATTTCTTGCGACCCAGAGACGCCTGGCACGGTGAAATTAGAGCGTTTTTGATCCCTTTCCAGCTCTTCTTCATAACATTTTCCTTTTTGATTAGATCTTGTTAGTCTTGAGACCTGTTGTTAAGACCTATCTTAAACTCGCTGAGTTCGTCAGTATCTCGAAGATAGGCTGTATTAAACCTCTATAATGCTATTTCTCCCACTGTCTATTTCTTCCTTAGCTTCAGTTTCATCTTGTCAACTACAAGGTGGTGACATAAAGCTATTTCAGTTTTCTCTGCTCTTGCGTCTTCTGTGGTTCTTTTGAAGTGTTCGTTAATGCAATTACGATTGATTCGGCTCTCTGTTATTTGATCCGATGAGACCCATGTAGCTTTATGTATGCGTTTGCGGAGGAATATAGTGCCACCAGTAGCCATTTAGTTGAAGGCACATGAATCTATAAATCTCTCCTCATTTTCGTTTCCTCCTAGCCTATATCGTCCTATGATATCTTCATTTCTGATGCTGTTCATTCCGACTGGCGTTTAGTTCTCTTTTATCAATATGATCATCTCTTTCCCTTGGCACCTCACTACGTTTGTCCTAAAATGCTCTGGAACGGCCGACGACGGGGAGAGTTAGCTCTGCCTCTCGAAATACTCTCACATGGCTACGTGCATACAACCACTGCCACGGAAGTCCTACTCACCACCTCGAGGCGGGGGTGTTGTTTACGAAAGTGAGAGAACGAAAAGCGAGTGTCCGGCACTTTAACCGGGTTGGTGGACACGGAGAGTCCACCTAGCGGAGTTGGAAAACCCTTTTTCCAAACCGATGGTGCACACGGGTTCCAGTATCTTGAAGGAACAAATAGTGTATAAACCGATCGTTGGTCACCGACTAGCATGGGACAGCATCTTCTTACGATGCTCCACTGCTTTGTGGATGAGATCTTCAGGTCAAAGGTTCGGGGTGTGGCCCCCTAAGAAAAGTATCTGCTTCAGATTGGGCACCCGTGCAGTATTCCAGCCCTCACACACATCGAATGGTTTATGTGGCGCATATGTATCTGGTGCCCCTTTGTACCAATGTTTGTGTTTAAATAAATAAAGTAAATAACGTTTGACTGCAGCCTCTCATAGAATTGTTCGTCATCATTTTCATTGATGTCGTTGGTGGATGCATAGTACTGAATAACATTCATTGAAATCAATTTTGTTTTGAAGGATGCTTTGATGATCCTGGATCCATGAGATTCCCACCCGAAAAGCGCATTTCGTGCTTATTTGGACAGCATCATTCCAACTCCCTGTCTTTTCTTCTTCATGACTTAGAGTACGATAACATCTCTGCTGAAGATGATCTTTTCTTTACAGCTTGATTCCAATGGGCTTCACTTAGTTCAAGCACCGCCAAGATATGTCTCCTCATTTCCACAGCTATTTGACTGGTCCTTTCGGCATCCAACATTGTGCTAATATTCCATGTACTTATGTGCACTTTTTTCTCTGGTTGTTAGAAGGGACGTTGGTATTGTGATTTCCGAAGTATCTCGGCTTTCACCATTAATCGTCACAATTCTTCATAGTGACGTTCATTCAACTCCTAGGCTAGAGTTTAAGTAGTTCAAATGATTTCTCTCGTTAGCGTTTTTTTAGAAATTTTTTAATGGAATGGTTTCTGTGACTCCATGCTCAACTCCTTTTCCTGGGTTTGGGACCGGTAGTGACTGTAAAACGGCTACAGCGTGAGTTAAAATAATAGCAGTTAATGAAAGTAAATTCAGCACTGCTACTAGTTTTGGTACACATTTCAAGATAAACGAAAATCCAAGGATTGCGATACACATGGAGGAATATATGTGGAAATAAGATAAGAATATTTTTCAAATAAGAAAGAAACAACGGATAAGTAGCTCGTTGTGATAAAGAAACCATGGGCTACAGTGTTCGGATCAAACCTAAGCGGCAAAGTATTAGTAAATGGCTTGCCGTGACGGGTAAGAAAGCATGCAAATAAAAATATCAGGTTTTGTCCACAAAAATATTCAAAACTTAAGCGTTTATATGCCAATTAACTCGAAACTCAACTTCTTAACTAGACATGTCAATTACTGCTTTGTTCATATTATTCATTTTTTGTGTTAATTCTTCAGGTAATCTGTAGAAGTTTTTAAAGTTATTCTTGGTGGGCTTATAGGTGAAAGTTATCTAAGTACTCTGAAAGTATTCATATTTTATTCAATCATGTGCGACTGTTTTTTATTCGCAGGTATTAATGCTTTCTGTTGTTGCTAAAACTCTGTGGAAAGTACTGTCAGCTGGAAACGTGTATTCGTCAAAATATTTCATATCTACTTCTATCGGTTTACATAAAAAACCTGAATTGTCAAATCATAATGGAGCTACAATAATATCTAAAGTTACTGGTCAAAAAGAAGATCTTTGGCAGTTGTATAACGAGGTCGTTTATCCGCCTGTACCTAAAGTTTCAAACTCAGTTCTCTGGGATACTAACATACGACCAGGTGAAGTTACCCATCGTCGAGATGATATTTTATACAGTAGCAAAAAACTGTGGATGCTAGTCCACTTGGTATGTTAACAGACTTGTAAATTATATTTCTATGCATCTAATCATTTGAATTTATCCTTTTCTAGACATTATATATGGGTGAATGATATAAAAAATATCTCGACATATAATTGTAAACACTTATTCTGCTTATATCCTTTCGAAAAACGATCAAATATGCTTTTAACTTTTTGTGATGGTTATCTGTGTTAAATGAAAACTGTAAAAATTGGAATCTTTAATTCACCAAAGTATCGATTCTCAACTGTTCATCAATTTTAAATAGTTGGATTGTTTCCATTATATAGTTAAGATCATGAGTCAATTGAAGCTAGACAACCGTGGAAAACCTGGAAGCACTGGACGACCGTTTCGTCCTATTATGGGACTCCTCAGCAGTGCGCATCCACGACCCCGCACTCGCGAGATTCGAACCCAGGACCTACCAGTCTCGAGCCATTGGAAGTTGGTCGCGCAATTTCGTGGATTGGTCCAGGTTAGACATAAACACCGTCGGATGCCAGCTCAGTGGTCTATCGGTTAAGGGCTCTGGCTCGAGACTAGTAGTTCCTGGGTTCGAATCTCGCGAGTGCGGGGTCGTTGATGCGCACTGCTGAGGAGTCCCATAATAGGACGAAACGGCCGTCCAGTGCTTCCAGGTTTTCCACGGTGGTCTAGCTTCAATTGACTCATGATCTTAACTATAAAATTACTAAATCTCCACAAAAACCCCCTTGTTTCCATTAATTGGACTTTTATTGAGTCACTTTCTTAATAGTGAAATTTTCTTCTTTTATAGCAGGCATTGTAGAGTACTATCAAGCAAGTTAACGTGTAATACAAATGACATTACACCATGGTTTCAGTCGTTTGTGATGGCTATTCACAAGACGGATCTGAAAAATCATACATGATTAAAATGACTAGCCCATTCCATAAGTTGTTTAAAACTTATCTACAGCAGTGAAAATTTCGATGTCTCTTGAAACATATAGCTGAATAGATTGAATGTAGTTCGTTTCTCAATATGTTAATAAAAACTAGTTTCGAATTGAACTCACCACTGGATAGTTGAAAATATACCCTTAAATCGAAATCTTGGTAAGTAACAACCAACTTTGGATAGAATGGATAAAATCAACTAAGAATATCCCATCCAATAAACTTGATTAATATGTATGTAATGATCTACATTCCAATTAATCAGCATTATCAAACTGTTTGTTTTATTTTAAATTGTTAATCCAGATTCGTGGGCGATCTGTAGATGATGCTTTCGCACAATTAGGATTTCGTACTGAAAAGGGAGCTAGAATCCTTGAAGAGGTAAGAGGGTTTCATAAATCAATGCTATTTACGTAAGTTAAACTCTAAATTCTCCTATATCAATAAACTTTGTTGTTAAAGTTAAACTTTCTTGTAGTTCATGTACGTTGTCGGACTAGTCTTACGTCGACTATTTAGTTAATATCAATTACCAAGATGTATCTACACATGGCCAGCGAATATATAGCCTCTGCCAGGGAAGTCCTACTCACTGCCTTCTCGTGGCGGGGGTGTTGTTTACGAAAGTGAGAGGACGAAAAGCGAATGTCCGGCGCTTTAACCGGGTTGGTGGACACGGAGTGTCCACCTAGGGGAGTTGGAAAACCCTGATTCCAAACCAATGGTGCACATGGGCTCCAATATCCTGATGGAACGAATGGCGGAAGAACCTGTCATTGGTCAACGACTACCATGGGACTGCACCTCCTCACGATGCTCCACTGCCTTGTGGATCAGACATTCAGGTCATAGGCTCCGGGTGTGGCCCCCTAAGAAAACCACCTGCTTCAGTTTGGGCACCTGGGCAGTATCACAGCCTTCACACAAATCGAATGAGATTTGGGTGGCGCATATGTATCTGATGCTTCATTGTACCAATATTTATGTGTTTCAATAATAATAATATCTACAAGTTAGACCATATTATCTATCTCCATAAATGATAATACATCATTTTTATAGATCAGAAGTGCGAAATTCTAAATCTCGATTAAAATATGATGTTTTTTAAAGAATGAATAACTGCTATAACAAGCCTTGTTCATGTTATCTTTGCTGAATAGTTTGACTGACGTGTGCTTGGAACTCAAATCCCGGATCCGACGACGATTAATGAGGAAATAAAGACCGGCTACATGTATTAGATTGACTCTGTAAAAAATCAAAATAGTACATGAGTACGCTCATTTATATATTAATTTTGCTCACACTTAGTGCTTAGTTGGCAATTATTACACATAAAGGAAATACAAAATTACTACGAAGACCTAAGCTATGAATTTCAGTAGACAATTTTATGTTACACGAAACAATGTGAATTGAGGTAAATCTAACTGTAAGCACCAGTATTCATGAAATTTTAGGTTAAATCAAATATAAAACTACCATCTAGACCATATGACTGCAGCAATCCAATATAGCTGATCACATTTATTTTTCGTATTCACTTGTAGGAAAATATATACCAACAAAAGATATACTTTTATTATTCATAATCACAAAACGTATTACGCTGTGATGTATACCGATGGATTTTCTCCAGAAATAGGCTCTCATTTTATACTAAATGTATACTCACCAGTAACTGTCTTCAATACAGGTTTCCTAGTTTGAAGTCGTGATATACAGAGTCGACCATGCCAGGATTTAGACGACAACCCACCGTTGACATTGTGTAGGAATCAACATAAATCAAAAATTGAATTTGCAAATGTAGACTTTTGAATTCTAGCTCACTAGTCTACGTCTATTGTGCTTAACCCTTCATGAAAGTTCATTGAAGAGAATTCTTAAGCAAGAATAAAACGAAGTTCTCTAATGGTCCTTGTCTTTCAATTGTTTTCTAAATGACGTTAATCGGTCATCTACAACGTAATGTAGTGAACAAACACTCAAGTGGGGAAGACCAGTTTATTGTTTAATGCACAATCATAATGGTTTAGTAAAATATGTAAATCATACGTCGAATTCATCATTTGCACATCCTTGGACTGTTTCTTACAAGCTTCATTGTTCCTTTATTCCTGTTGTTATCTTGATCGCTTTCAGTTTCGTTCCCTCCTCTCTACATTTCAATTTTCTCAACTGTCTGCTCGCAGACATGTACTTCCGACTGATGTTATATAGTACTTATATCTGCAAGCATAAATAGCACACCACAGTAGGACCAGGCATATATATGTATCAGTCTACGTTGCCGTACCTCATTGACACAACCAAATGAATACTAAATTCATAGAAGCAGTTACTTCAGTAGTAGTAGTAGTAATATATAATATATAATAATATATATAAGGATATAATACTGGTAGAAAGAATTGTTTCGTTGAAAGAAAAGTATAAAGTAATCTCAATTTAATGGAAGACAAAGAGTGTATGCACCTACGCCATTATGATCGATCCTGAGCCATATCACTCACGGTCTCTAACTACTGGTTACAATAGTTGCGCGGATCCCAAGTAATCTGCATCTACCAACATGGCTCAGACCAGGAGTTAGTAACTTTGTAGACTGATGCCACATTTTGGTTTGGTCATCCCCAACTTTCTTCCATCCGTTGGAGACGGATGAAAGAAAAATGACTCCAGTTTCGTTATGAAAGTTATCTTTCAAATTTAAATTAATATGTGCGACATCACGTCTTTTAGACCCTAGTCCAGCTGATAGTGTTCAGCTAGGATTAATTACCTTCTGTTTGTACATATCTGAACAGGTTGTTCAGTAGTCACTTCATACTCAGCATTCCTCGGTTCATATTTTTCGCATATATTACATGATCTCTTATAAAATAGAAATGTTTTGCTTATCGTCCTCATCTTGTATACTTATTTAGTCTACATGCAACTCAGTGTATCCATAATATAAAAGCGATTCTCAAAATTCACAACCTCTGATAAATTTATTTCACTGAATAAAAGTAACATAGTGTTTATTTTATTTGCATTAGTTGTTTGAATCTTCCTATTGTTGTTTAGGACTGGAATTGATCAGTCTTTTGGCATATGTGTATTCTATGCGGACTCCATCGATATTGCATTATGAGCATAAATAAATGATGACTAGGAGTGGAATCCAGTACACGCGTTCCGTTTTTATCTAGGACTAGTCAGTTAGGTGTGCCTGTGTTCCAGAATTGGTGTCCACTCATTGAGAGAATATCGAGACAATCCGCCTAGGATGCACATATGCCGAAAACAAACTGATTAATTGCAGTCTTCAAAGTCAATGGGAAAATCCAAACGACCAATACGAATGAATAAAACCTTCCCTCACTTCACAAGCCAGTGGCTATTTGAACTCAGTAACCAAATAAATAAAGTGATAGCCAGTGCTGGGTATGAGTTTTGGAATGAACATTATCTCGGATTTAGATACGTCTGGCTGACAAGTTCCAAATATGACAAAACGTGGGTCCTTGATTCCACTGCTAGTTACCATCTATCTGTTTTTATGATGTTTAGAATTGTAATAATGTATTTTCTTCAAAATAAACTATTCTTTTTGATCACTAAGTTTAAATCATAAATGTGCAAATCTGATGATCATTAATTCGAAACTGCATTCTTCATGTCATCTGTTTTTTTAGGTGCTAGAAGAAGCTATTGAGTTAGCAGTTAAGGAGCACGATTTTGAATTCTGTACAAAAATTTGGATAGGTAAATTGCTTATATGGAATGTTGTTTTTATTTCCGTTGTTTTCATGATCATCTTCTGTGATGAATTATACCTACAACTATAGTAAAACATACTTTCTCAGATGTTACTCATTAATTATTTACATGTCCATGTTTATTGGGGCTTTGAGGCATATTTTGTGTTTGCGCTTGTATACGACTTAATAATATTATCGGGTTGCTCAATTAAAAGTAGGTGAAGTGAAATTTGACTTTATGTTACTTAGTATTTATTTGAACTACGTGTAATTGAACACAGTTACTGAATTTAATTTTTTACACAGTATATTTTATAGAAATACGGTTGGATTTCTTTATCATTAATGTTCTTATTGTCCATCAATTAACTTTTGCGAACGATAACTCCATAATAACTTCTGAACTGTGCTTAGTTTTATTTGACATAAGTATTTATTAAGATTATAGAAACATTCAGCATTAACCTCATTAATTATTCTAGTATGGTCGAAATGTAAGGAAGGTGTTAAGTAGGTCAATTCCTCTATTATCATAAAGATTTATGTTTTATACATAACAGAATTGTCACTTAATGTCTTACAGTTGAATCTTTATGGACGCCGAACGGAAAGGTTTGTTATTTTGTTATTCTATAACATATAATTTCAAGATACGACTGATTTCATTTATTTGTGCCTGAGAAGTTCATTAACATCTTAAAGGCCCTGTACACGAACACCTCAGGCAGAGTGAGGGCATACAACCACCTTTCTCCCTTGTTCCATTCGATCACCAGGGTTAGGCAGGGTTGTCCAATCTCACCATTCCTCTTCAACTTTGCCATCGATGACATCCTGGAAACAGCTCTGATGGATGTAAGTAATGGCGGTGTTGATATGTTGCCTGGAGAACGACTTTTCTACCTCGAGTATGCGGATGATATTGAAAGCCAGAGCGGCTTATGCCAATCTGGGCCATCTTTGGCGCCTTCGTGATGTTAGTCTGGCTGAAACAGGTCGGATCTACAACGCGTCGGTGAGAGCAGTTTTGCTCTATGCTTGTGAAACCTGGCCCTCTGAGTTGAGAATGTTAGACGTCTCTCTGTGTTCGATCATCGTTGTCTCCGAAGGATTGCTGACATCCAGTGGCAACACCATGTTAGTAATGCACAGGTTCGGCATCGTGTGTTCGGGCGCAGAGACGATAATTCAATTGGTGTTACCATCTTGAAACACCGACTTCGGTGGCTTGGACATGTTTTACGAATGTCGTCCCAGAGGCTTCCACGTCGTGCATTATTTGCCGACTCTGGGACTGGTTGGAAAAAGCGGAGAGGAGGTCAGTGTATGACATGGTGTCGTGGCATGAAAGAGAGCTGCAAAGGGCTAGCTTCTGTTGGTCCTTCACGACTCCCTGGTTGGGGTCCGAGAGATGGTGCAACACAGTGGCTAGAGACGTTATCAGATATGGCTCAGAATAGAAGCCAGTGGCGATCCTGCTGTAACCATCTACTTTCTTCATTAAGAGTGACTATAACTTTCCTAACTGAGAGAGCTCTTCTGGTTGTGCATTCAGTTCCCCCCATCATTACTCTTCTCCTTTTCTTTTTTTCCTTCTTTTATATATACGCATCTTCTTCCTTCTCCCATTCTCATTATTTTGTGTGGCGTATATGTATCCGGTGCCCTTTGTACCAATATATATGTGGTTAAATAAATAAATAAATACGACTGATTATGCTTTTAGTAAATAACTGATTTACCACTGAAAGTACCTATTTGTTTAGTAAAAGTTATTATACGTACTGAAAAGAATACGAGCTCAGGGTTGATACCAATATGAGTACTGATCTAATGCAATTATCTAATGCCAGACAATCAGTGTCAACACTTAAACGATATCAATCAGTCAGTCACAGCGTAGAACTTCGTACGTACGTACATCAGTTCGAGGTGCCATACTGTTAGGATATTCACAAGAATATCCCAAAAATTATCTCGAATGTAAAGTGGTATGTTTTTTTCGAACTAGGATATCTGAATTTGGTCAATCGGTAGAATTTCGTGTAGTCCTTTCACAATACGTTGTATTTGGGCGACTTTATAACACATACCATATTAGCACAGAGATTCAGTTGTCGATTCAAATCTCATAGTGGTGGAAGTAGTAAGAGTGTAAGCACTATGTGAAAGATTAGGGTTTGAAGATGTTATTGAAGGTTTATAATCCAGTGAAATATATTTAAAAAGAGAAAAAAGAAAGGAACATAAAGAATTAAGATTAGAATTCGGGAGAACACAAAGAGTGTATGCACCTTCGCCATTGCAAACGATTTTGAGCCATGTCATTCAAGGTCTCTAACCAGCGATTGCTATCATTTCGCGAATCCCAACCAGGTAGTCTACACCTACCAGCATGGCTCAGTTCACTTGTCAGCGACTTCATGGATTTATGCCACGTTTCGGTCTGGCCGCCCCTAGCTTTCTTCCAACCTACTCCTACACCATAAAGCATTGCACGTTGGGGCAGTCGGTGGTTGGGCATACGTAACACGTGTCCCAACCATCTCAACTGATGAAGTCTCACTACTTCATCAACTGATTTGCCGTCATTACCTAGTACCCGTTTCCTAACAACTGCTCAGTGGTCCCAGGATATACGAGCAATGCTTCGAAGACACCTATGATCGAATACCAGTAGCTTACGAATATCCTCTACTCTTATCGGCCATGTTTCACTGCCATAAAGTAGGACGGAACGAACTGCTGCACAGTAAACCCGTCCATTGGTAGCTAGACGAATATCTCGCCTACGTCATAAATGGCGCAAGTTGGTGAAAGCTAGACGAGCCTTCTGTATCCGTGCTGAGATTTCGTCACTCACGAGACCCCAAGGGCTGATGAGACTCCCAAGATAAGTGAAGTGGTCTACACGCTCAACTTCTTCACTCCCTATCATTAATTCAGGTGTCGATGCAACTCAATCCTGAAGTAACATTTTGCACTTCGAGGGAGAGAATCGCATTCCGAACATGCCTACATAGTTGCGTATAGTGGTCAGAAGATTCTGCATTTTGTCAGAGTTTTAACTAAATAAAACTATGTCGTCGGCGTATTCTAAGTCAACAAGTGAGCCTCCTGGTAAAAGTTCAACTCATGGAGGTTTAGCTGATGAAAGTGTTATCTCTGAATGTATGTCAACGACAAAGTTAAACAAGAATGAGGAGAGTGGACAGCCCTGACGAACACTACTTGAGGTAACCAATCCTGATAACAGTCCGCCATGGGCGCTAACTCGATCAGTTGTGTTCGAGTAGAGAGCGTTTATGAGGTTAATGTACTTCTTTGGTACTCCTTTCAGTGACAAACACTGCCAGAGAGCCTCACGATCAACGGAGTCAAATGACGCCTTAAGGTTAAGAAATACCACTATTGTGGGACGTCTGAATGTGTGTCTATGTTCGAGGACCTGACGTAGAGTGAAAATCTGGTCTATGTAATATAAATTCGCCCAAATATCACGTATTGCGATAGGTCTACACGAAATTCTACCGATTGACCAAATTCAGATATCCTAGTTCGACCCCAATACTGTTACCCAACTCCAATAAATCAGAACACAGCTGCTAAATGAGAATTGTTTATGGAGTCAGCAGCAGAACAAAAATGGTTTACAGACAAGGCATATTTATACAGTTACGATGACTATTAACAGTAACCAGTGGAAAGGAAGGACACGTAAAGGTTATAATTAGGACAACTCAAAATTGACCAATAGGGAAACGACACATGAAAGTCGTAGTTAGGACAACTGTAAATAATGGCCAATAGGAAATAACATGCGAATTATGTGAAGAGTCTGAAAACATACCACTTTACATTCGAGATAATTATTGGGATATTCTTGTGAATATCCTAACCCTATGCAACCACGTCCAGGTCGGAAACCAGCCTGATTTTCTCTAGTCTGCTCTTCACGAGCTTTGGTTAGGCGTTCAAGTATTATTGAAGCTAATATTTTCGACACTATATTAGTCAAACTTACGATATATGGGGCCTCGTCGTACCAAATTGCTAGGAGGACCTCTATTTATCCAACTTTTGTTTGCATATGTTAGTTTCTTTCTTGTAACGATAACCGCAGTAATATTTTTTCCTAGGTAGTATTTCCACACTTTTGCTATCTCCTAACTGATTGCTGCCACTTTTAGTTGATTTGTTGTATCCGTCCCAAGGTCATGTTTTACCACTATATGTATCCAGATTTGTTCTACGTCGAATTTGAGTTCTTTTCGAAATATAAAACAATCCCGAGAGTTTCATCTCCATCTTTTGTTCCCATGTGGATTGTCAATAGCTGTACTATTGATTTCGCATTTGTTTTCGTTCGTAATTCGAAATTACCATAGGCTCAACAAAACTAAATCTTCGATCCGCATATATAAATGTCAAACTCAGCAAATTTAATACTATCTAATTGACCTTAAATAAAAAATAATGGCAGGCAACAATAGAGATAATTGATTTCAAGCAACCAATAGGAGAAAAAGATGAGGACCGTAGTTTTCTAAGCACAATCCAATTAGGAGTGTTTAGGTAAACTAGTAATTATTATGAATATGAATATTACCATTATAAAATAATTCTTGAAGTAGTTCTAACAAATTTATTATATATCATTAATCGTTACTTCGATATAACCACTTTATCTATGTGCTGCTACTACTAGCGAGGGTTGATTCTCATTCATGCCCTCGAAAAAGACATCTTTGAGGTAATTACTTTTTACAGTTAAAAGAAACATTTCTTTTGCCAAAAGATAGTTGTCTTTCATGTAAATATCTTTGTCTGCATAATTTATCTTATATATCCTTGTTGATAATAATAATAAATTTGTCCCACAGATTGCAACATATGTTCTGTTTTATTTTCTAACTATTTTTACCTTAAGAGTCAGCACATGTTTCACGAGGTCGAATGGTTCCTCGTTTATACAAAGGCTTACGATCTGTTGTACATATGATTAACTTTCACTACACAAATTTATATATACGTCTCCGAGAAGGTGATCCTCCGAAAATTTATCATCCAAATGAAATCAAAGGTGTTTGGACTCCGGCTGCAACATGCCCACCAGAAGGCAGACCTTGGGGCTCAACACGAGAAATGGTACATCGTGAATTGGAAAGATTGCGTGGAAGACGGTTAAAAGGAGATTTATAAGTGAATATATAGACAGTTTTTGTAAAATTACGATAAACTAGTCGAAATTTTTATCTGTACAAAAAACACCTCTTACCATACAAAAGTATCAAATCTTTTCGTCTTCTGATGACATGCATTTTTCTTTGTCAAGTAAAGCAATTTCTTAATGAGTCATTTTTATATTATTAGAATACTCAATATTCTTAAGTACTTAGTGATTTAGATTGTTAATAAACAACCAATAAATAAGATGACAGTGATGAAAACACTTAATTGCAAGCTTTAATCTTCATTGCTTACATTGTTACTACGGCAATGAGTATCACTACTAATCTTGAAATATATATATATATATATATATATATATATATATATATCGAAATGCTCTCACATGGTTACGTGCATACAACCACTGCCACGGAAGTCCTACTCACTGCCTCCTCGAGACGGGGGTGTTGTTTACGAAAGTGAGAGAACGAAAAGCGAGTGTCCGGCACTTTAACCGGGTTGGTGGACACAGAGAGTCCACCTAGCACCAGGACAGTATCACAACCCTCACACAAATCGGATGACTTGTGTGGCTCATATCTATTTGTTACCTCCTTGTACCAATGTTTATTTTTTTAAATAAATAAATAAAGATCTCCACCATGTTATCATTTCGTTCGGAAACACAGTTTCTATTTTGTAAAGAAAAAGATACTGTTTGTACGATCCAGTTTATTATATTGTAAAGACATGTTACTGACTGTTCTTTCTGAGGTATATTACATCCAAAGCAGTATTATTATAATCCGACTATAGCTGCTACCTTGATGTGGTGGTCGGGCTTGCCTATGGTGATGACCCAACCGGGCTATATTGGCTGGAACACATGTTTCTGTAAGTTCTACCATGCCAAGCAGGTTAAATTGAGAACGGTAAGACTAAAAGCAGTAACTCAAGTTCGAAGTCGTACTGCTGACTGTAGAGGGGTGTGACAGCACTAAGGCGTTTCCCTCGGACAACCAACATCTGAAACGATGCTGCCTTCTTACAAGGAGGGAAGGGGTTAGAAAGGGTCGACCCTAAAAATGTCACGCCTTACCTTACCCCACGGGTTTTCGTCTCTGGTGGTAAGGCCCTTTGAAGAACGGAGCTAACACGTCGAAAATCCCCCACAAAAAGGCTGTGTGTGACCGGCCTCATGCAGTTGTCCCTTGGGCTCAGCGGTCAAGCTCACAGGTCGTGAAGACCGATATTGATCAAACTTCATTTTCAGGTCCCTCAAGAAATACCCTTTCACTGTGTGGGCAGCCAGGAAGTGATATCAACCTTCATACCCTTAACAGCACACAAGACCAAGTTGGTCACATTCAAATCCTTCCTACACCTCTTAATAACTCCCCTATCTCCACGACTAACCCTTCTCACGTCCTTTCATCACCTCGCACCGCTAGGGCAAACGATTCGAGTGCACGGAATATTATTCCTAGTCTCCTGAAACCATGCTCTAAACTACATGTAGGAACCTTTAATGTCCGAACATTATGCCAAATAGGACATCAGGCCTCCTTAGCTAGGACTTTGGAATCTTGTGACGTCGATATGTGATGCGTCTTTGAAAGGTGTATACAAGATCTGAGTAGAGTCATTCATTTGACCTCACCATTTCAATATAAAGAGCTAACTCGATTCACACTTCGTGTATCTCGAAGCCCTGATGCTGCTTCCCATAGCCTCGCTGGTGTATAGCATTGAGTTCTAGGGTAGAACTAGCTCTTTTAGACTGAATCCCAGTAGGAAGTCGTCGGTGTGTGACGAAATCTCAGCACGGATACAGAAGGCTCGTCTAGCTTTCACCAACTTGCGCCATTTATGGCGTAGGCGAGATATTCGTCTAGCTACCAATGGACGGGTTTACTGTGCAGCAGTTCGTTCCGTCCTACTTTATGGCAGTGAAACATGGCCGATAAGAGTAGAGGATATTCGTAAGCTACTGGTATTCGATCATAGGTGTCTTCGAAGCATTGCTCGTATATCCTGGGACCACTGAGCAGTTGTTAGGAAACGGGTACTAGGTAATGACGGCAAATCAGTTGATGAAGTAGTGAGGCTTCATCAGTTGAGATGGTTGGGACACGTGTTACGTATGCCCAACCACCGACTGCCCCAACGTGCAATGCTTTATGGTGTAGGAGTAGGTTGGAAGAAAGCTAGGGGCGGCCAGACCGAAACGTGGCATAAATCCATGAAGTCGCTGACAAGTGAACTGAGCCATGCTGGTAGGTGTAGACTACCTGGTTGGGATTCGCGAAATGATAGCAATCGCTGGTTAGAGACCTTGAATGACATGGCTCAAAATCGTTTGCAATGGCGAAGGTGCATACACTCTTTGTGTTCTCCCGAATTCTAATCTTAATTCTTTATGTTCCTTTCTTTTTTCTCTTTTTAAATATATTTCACTGGATTATAAACCTTCAATAACATCTTCAAACCCTAATCTTTCACATAGTGCTTATACTCTTACTACTTCTACCACTATGAGATTTGAATCGACAACTGAATCTCTGTGCTAATATGGTATGGCAGCTCGAACTGATGTACGTACGTACGAAGTTCTACGTTGTGACTGAGTATTATAACTAGCGTATTTTCCAACGTTTCTCATTATGGCATCTGGATTAATTTTTAATCATAAAGTAATAACAAACTAGACAATTAGGTATTATTGTGTAGCATGTTAGCAGTAAATTATAGAAACCATATGTGTTGTCAATATACTTCGTAAACTGGATATATTCACTTTTAGTGTGTACAAGAGATGAGTGTTGCGATTAATAAATGCTAGATTTGAGTATTGATAAATTAAATATCAGTATCTAGTGATGAATAAGTCTCAAGAGGGATGAGAAGCGCACTTTGTTATCAATTATTGACCATTTTTAGAGTAAAGAGATATATCCATCGAAGTATCCTTGTAAGAAATTTATATGCCAACTTATGTGTTGGAGGAAGTGAGATATGACTAGCCAATAAGGAAAGATAGACATCTATCTATAATGAATGAGAGATTATTATATTTCATTCTTTCCTTGCATCTGCTTGTATTCCGTGTCGATAACTTATTCTGGCCTGCAATCTAAATTTTAGTACTTGGTCATATTTTGTGTAACTAAGCTCATAAGATCTAATGTCATAACCCAGTGACCCCTAATAATAATTATTATCTAATATCAAGTCCAATTGATCCCAATGGTCTAATTATCTCATATCTAGTCCCCCAGTGGTTGGACGATTTTTATTTTGTTCATACTTATATTTTTCTATTTTGACTGTGCTGTTACAGAAATATACTATTGCTGCAAAATATAAGTAGTACTACTATAGTACTTTATCTTTCCTATTAAGATATCTCAGAATTCAATTTAATAGTACGAAATAAATGTGGATGACAGTTCTCATTGTATTTTGTTTCATGAAATAAGCTTAAATTGCAAATCAGTTTGTAAATATTCATTCAAAACGCCATTGGATGATAAAATCCTCTAATTATGTGAGTTCGATTCTGTGTTAATTGTTCTGTAGGTGACTTGGAAAGTATATGTGTTTTAACTTGTGGCCGAGTGGATGTCTTGTTAACGTATGACGTGTTAAGACGGCCAATCAGAGAGCAGCGAATTATCGATTGGGCCAGTGACACGAGAACCGTACGAGTACTTATCGGTCCTGCTTCTGCCTAGCCCAGCCAGTTAAGTCCAGAACAGCCTCTGCGGTATGAATCATTTGTTTCAAGCATACTCGGTTTATATGCCAGACAAACAGACCGCATTACAGCATAAAATAGAAAATAATATTTGTACAAGATCAATCCAAATGTGGCTGTGAACGTGGGAGACAATAATCAGTAAACTGAATATAATTTAGGGACAGTAATTCGTATAATAATAATTCATAGATCAAAATGAGGCATATAATAAGATGAATACAGATATACACAATCTAATTACTCAATAGTTAAACCATAAGAATTTAAATAGAACAATAGTCCATTAATAGATCCTGGGAGTTACCCGTGCCCCCAAATGCCCTGGTACGGCCGAGAGTGGGAAGAGTCCGCTCTCCCTCTACAAATGCTCTCACATGGCCATGCGTATATAGCATCTACCAGGGAAGTCCTACTCACTGCTTTCTCAAGGCAGGGGTGTTGTTTACGAAAAGCGAGTGTCCGGCGATTTAACCAGGTTGGTGGACACGGAGAGCGCACCTAGCGGAGTTGGAAAACCCTGATTCCAAATCAATGGTGCACATGGGCTCCAGTATCCTGAGGGAACAAATGGCGTATAAATTAATCATTGGTGACCGGCTACCATGGGACAGCATCTCCTTATGATGCTCCACTGCTTTGTGGACTAGACCTTTAGGTCAAATGTTCGGGGTGTGGCCCCCTGAGAAAATTATCTGCTTCGGTTTGGGCACCAGGACAGTGTCACAGCCCTCACACAAATGAAATGAGATTTGTGTAGTGCATATGTATCCGGTGCCCCTGTGTACTAATATTTGTTTTTAAATAAATAAATAAAGTTAACCGTACGTCTTTCCTAGGATATAACAATGTATGAATACCTTTAAGTTGTGAAACTATGTAAAATCGCGTGTCAAAATGAAGATTTAGAAGTGTACTACACCTTTTGTTCTGATTTCAAGTCGCTTAGCTATCTGCGCCATTAAACATATCAGTGATCAAACGCAGGAACATAAGGTTGTCAAGTGTTCGCTTAGTCTGTAGACTACTGAACATTCTTCATTACGAAAACCAAGAAATCGGTTGTGAATCGACTTATGAGAAGGCTGTTGAGTTGAAGATTAGGAACTACTGATACACTAACTTCCTGTCATATTGATATGTATAGTTTCCAGATAATATCAAAAGCATTAGATACTGACTGAAGAAAAGTGACATCCAATGAATTCAGAATACAGGATATTAAGAGACGAGGCTATTGGTCTACTGTTATCTGAATAATTTATCATTCAGGAGTGTATGTCAGTTCGAACCAAACATATGTGTGGACAAAGACAGACTTACATTCAAGATGATCGTAACAACAAACACCAGTTTACAAGCAAGACAAGAACAATAGGAAATTTCATTTCGGACGTTGAAATTAGGATAGTTTATTGTTTAGATTTAGCTACTCATGAGGGATGTGATCAGATGAAACAACATGCTATGGAAAGCGGTTGTTTTCAATCAGTGTCTAAATTTTTAGTCAAGCGATAGGTAACATCTTCACCAACAAGGTTTGAGTTATATTAGGCAACTTGCCTCATTCCATGTTAGATGCTAAAAACTGTGTGATATAACTTTACTCATCCCAGTA